GAATCGTCGACGACCGAGTGCTTTCCGATCGGCTCGATTCACTGGCGCTGCGAAGAGATGTTGCATCTCTTTGCGTATTTTATCGCATCTATCACGGGGAGTGCTCTGAGGAATTGTTCGGATTAATCCCAGCCGCCAAATTTCGTGAACGCACTACACGGCAAACGTCCCGATACCATCCACACCATCTGGATGCTTGGCGGTCCACCACTGTACGTTTCAAAAGGAGTTTTCTTCCGCGTACAACCTCTCTGTGGAATAATTTACCACCGGTGATTTTTCCGGACCGATACAACCTGGGGACCTTCAAGAAAAGAGCTTACTCCTTTCTAAAGGGCCGGCAACGCACCTGCAATTCCCCTGGTGTTGCGGTTGATCATGGGCGGCGGTAGTCACTTAACATCAGGTGAGCCACATGCTCGTTTGCCCCCTCTTCTATAAAAAAAAAAAAAAAAAACACATCTATTCCTCTGTCATTCATCATTTCGCATACTTCATCCATCTTATCATTCATTCCTCCACATACATTCAGCGTAGCCAGACGGGTTTCCGCAATCCACTTTTCGCCCCTCCGGGAGACAGAACGTGACGGGTGGCGAACCTCGTCGCCGGTTTTTCTCCCGGAGATTCTTCGCACCCCTGCCCCATTTAAAGGGCGCCGGGAACTCGGGGCCATTTCTTTTATTTCTTGAGTCATGGTGCGAACAAGGGTTGGTGGTAGATTTTACGCCGCTACCATACGGCGAGGAGCCGAGTCTATTTTATCGGCTTTGTCGCTCGTTTAGCACCACCCGGGGGACACGTGTAGGGTGGGCCTAAGGTTAGGTGGTCGAAGCCTACGGACGCGAGCGACTCATCCCCCCTGATCGGAAAAATAGACAGTAAATGACTTTTATTGACCGAACTTTGTGATCGCAGCGCCTCACTGATGGTGTCCATATTTCTGGGACACTATTTTCTACGGCGCTCGTTCTCCTGTTCTCTAACCTTCATGGTTGAGAATGTCAAACTGTGTTGATATTTCTGTTCAGTAAGGTTTGGCGATTCATCATGAATCGTTTAATGTTAGAACAACGCTTCCAAATTGTAGAAATTTACTTTGAAAAAAAAAATCTTTTCGTCAAGTTAATAGAGTACTTCGTCCATTGTACGGTTAGCATAATCAGCCTATTGAGCAAGCAATTAGTGTATTTATTGATCGCTTTCGTCACTACTTATACTCTTCTCCATTCAAAGCTATCAACAAGACAAAGAAATGTGCGTACCGAAGCGAATATTGCTGGTGTAGCGCAAAGTGTTGGAGAATACGCCGAATGTCGATTGTCGCCGTTCTCAACTTGTTAGCCATTGTCCATGGACTACGTGGAACATTTTACGTAATAACCTTGGCTTACGTGAAAATACAGCTCAATCAATTTATTGCAAAATCGATTAAGTCTCAACTTTATTTCCAGAAGTGGTCCTGTTATCTGGCCCCCTCGTTCGTGGGATTTAACGACTCTCGATTACTTTTTATGGGGCTATATTAAGTCATTGATTTATGCCGACAAACCAGCAATTCTTGAAGCAATGGAAGCCAATATTCAAACCACCATTAAACCGACATACGGCCAGATTTATTGCAAGCAGTAGTGAAAAATTGGATTGATCGAATGGACTATGTAACTCGTAGCCGCGGCGGACATATGTCGGAAATCACATTTAAAAAATAAATGCCATTAAATTATCTACCAGATTATAATAAAATAAAATTATACCAACAATATTTCTGTTTTGTATTATTATTTAAAGTTTTCAAACTCTAATGATTTCTTAAATTTACGCGAACACTACACATTTGATAAACAACAAATCCTCGCAAAAGAACACCGATTCCTACCAAGCATGATACGCGAGGCTATTGAAATAAAAAAAAACATCCTAAATTCAAAAGAGAACATGGATGCGTGCTGCCATCTGCTTGGGATTCTATAATTAAACTATGGTATTAATTACTTGGTGGTATGCTTGGGTTTGGGTTTAAAAAAAAAACCCAAACCCAAGCATACCAATGCAAGAATTTATGATACTGTAAGCTCGTTTTGCGTAGATCGGAGCGAAAAATTAAAATAAAAAACTGAAGGTAGGCGGACTAATTATGACATTAGAACGTCAAACATGTTTTGATGTGCCCTGCCCATGCCCCCCCCCCCCCCCGTGACCATGGGTGCTGTAAAGCATCCGAAACGCCGGGAATTAAAAAATAAGTAAAAGTAGTTAATTAAACGCGATAGAAACGTAAAATTAGTTCTCAAGCTTTTAAAAAAACACCCTGTATATACCCGTGTAATGTCGACGTAAGAATATCCACTGCCCCATATCATCCAGTGGGTAACGTAAGAGGTCAGAGAGGGAAATAAACCAGATGAAAAGCAGCTTATTTCTAAAAACTACTAAAAATTAAAATAAAACTGTGTATAACTATATCAAATATCCCTCTTAGAGGCAATCCTTGGGGGCGGCCTATGTTAAGCAGTGGACTTTAATATACTGTAACGATAACAGTAACTCTATACAAGTTAATCTACACTACTATAGTCCGTTCGCGTTAAGAAAATAGTGAGTCATAGTTGTCCGCCGGCCTGGCCACGCCCCCCAGCCAATTAAAATGCAAGAAATTAGAAACTCAAGTTCACAGTGACCAGTTGAAGTCAGGCCTCCGAACAAAACGGTTGTGTATTTTTTTGTGTTTAAAAGTAATGGCATTACAATTCTTCGCCTACCGCTTTACCATTGCAAATTTAATCCAATTGTATTGGTTTGGGCCCAAATAAAAAATTATGTTGGTGCCAATAACTCCACGTTCAAAATTAGTGACATAAAAAATTATTAAATGACGCAATAGCATTAATAGACGCTAATCGTTGGAAAAAGTGCTGCGACCACGTGATACGCGAAGAAAATACCATGTGGAATTTGGATGACATCATGTAATGAAAATATTAAATTGCATATCAACAATGAACCAATATCTGACCCGCATGAGGTTTCTAATGTTTTTAACGAACTATTCGCGTCAGTCGGGAGCGGCGCGGCAGGTAGTGCGCTCGCGCCACGCGGCCGCCCGGTTATGTGCCCCTCTCTGCACTCGATGTTCTTAACCCCAGTGGCTGAACGAGAGGTAATGTCATTGGTGCGACAACGTGTTGATGAGCTGCCGTCCACTCTTATTAAAAAAAATGCCGAAGAAATAGTTCCGTCGTTAACTTTAATTATAAATCAATCCTTTTCTGAAGGAGTATTCCCTGACCTATTATAAAGCCAATTCATAAAAAAGACAAAAAAAAACGGACCCCGACCCATTGCACTCTTACCCGTAATTTCAAAAATTTTTGAAAGAGCTATGTTCAAACGATTATATATTTTGTGAAACGTACAATATTTTCGACAACGCCCAAAATGGTTTTAGAAAATACCGCTCGACAACCCTAGCCGCATTTAAATATTTTAATGAAGTCTTGAACATATTAAACGATCAGAAATACGCAATAGGAATTTTATTTGACATGACAAAGGCATATGAAAAAATTAATTTTCATTCTCTTAAATAAACTTTATGACATTGGTATCCGTGGTGTAGCTCATAAGTGGTTTGCTTCCTTTCTCAGAAATCGTTCACAGTACGTCGAAATAGAAAATGTAGATGAAGATTCAAAAACCATAACATGTGTCAGGTCGAGGACCCAGCCGGTGCGGGACTCTATCCCTCAGGGTTCCGTATTCGGATGTATCCTCTTCCTTATTTACATCAATGACCTCCCCAAGATTATTGATGAGTTTTGTGTGATGTTTGCCGACGATTTTTCCGTTGTGTTCCCTTATATCAATGGTACCAAACTTAATAAAATAATCGACATAATTATAAATAAAGTAAAACAATGGCTAAGCGATCATAATTTAGAAGTTAATTTCAAAAAAACTAAACTAATACAATTCAGACAACGACAAAAACATGAACTAGAGATAAATTATACATATAATCAAACAAAATTAGAATGTGTTCAAAATTTTTCTTTGCTGGGTATAAATATAGATTCAAATGTTAATTTTAAATCACATATTCAAAAAAAATAAGTTAAAATTATCACAATTTATATATGCTTTAAGAGAATTAAAAAAAATCTACAAATTTAAAAACGGCAGTGACAGGCTATCACGCCTACGCTCAAGCATGGCTAAACTACGGCATCATATTATGGGGCAGCAGTGTAGAATCACACGAACTTTTTATTTTACAAAAAAATGTATACGCGTACTTGCAAATATCAAGCAAAGAGAAAGTTGCAAACCTCACTTTCAAAGTCTCAAAATTTTAACATTACCGTGCCTATATATATTAGAAATATGTAAATTTGTAAAAAGACACCCAAGTTTTTACACCAAAATCATAGACGCGCCCCGACACAACGTAACTCGCTATAAGAATAATCTTTTGCAACCAAAATCTAAATTAAAATTACACAGTACAGGTCCTTACTCGATGTCAATAAAAATTTATAATAAATTGCCGGAATACATAAAAGCCGAAACAAATATTAATAAATTCATAAGATCTTTAAAAGAGATACTTATTAAAAAAGTTATTATTCAATTAATGAATACATTGAGGAAAAGAATTTTTAAGTGTCTGCCCCTCTCCTGTTCATTGCTATGCCTTTCGAGGTGCACGTGATTGTTAGAACTTGCATGTTTTGTTTAGTCTCTGAGTCACACGTAACGCAATTTGTGAATAAATAAATAAATAAATAACTTGCACAACAAAATTCTTTCATAATTAATGTAACTGGAGAATCTAGCGATACTGATTAGTGATTAAGTAATAAGAAAATTTGTTTCCATTAAACTTAATTAAATGTTTGAAAAAAAAAAGAATTTTTACTCTAGTTTGAATACACCTTTACCCTGTAGTTGCACTAATGACTCACTATTTTCTCAACGCGAACGAACTATAAGCTACCTACCTGCGTTTGCCTGGGCGGAGTCATCCTGAACTCTTTACGGTTGGTCTCCGGTCTGTAGGTCTCGAAGAACCGGAATCGGTCAGAAATGTCCGCGGTCTCGATCTTCACGTCTTCTACTTTGTCCGCCGCCCGGACCACGTCTTTTGGTACGAATGGCTGGAAATGAAAAAAAAATTGAACAATATTTTTTTAAAGTGCGATCGTGTAGTCTATCTGTTGATATAGTTATTCTATTTCACGATGAAGGTTTCGCCTTGATTGTAGTAGTGACGTGTACCGACAGGCGTGTTTGTGTGTGTAACTGCGATTCGTTCGACTCACGAAACTCACGATAGTGACTGTGTGCACCCGAGGCCTACGCACACTAACACAATGTGTATGTGCACGGCTAACAACAACCAAAGTCAAACCTCCATCGTGAAATAGAATTACTATATCAGTCTATAAGTTAGTGCATGAAATTGAGGGAGGGCGCGAGGTGCTCTTCAAGCCAGGTAAGACACATCGTTGTATTTAGGGAGGGAGGGAGCTTGCGAAGTAATTGATTTTTTATTATATCAGTGTTTTTTTATAGAATAAGAGTAACAAACGATCACACAGTAAGTAGATGCTGTGGCCCATAGACATCTACATCTACCCTCGATAAAAAATCAAAATACAGAAGCGTTGTCACCCCTGAGGACTAATATTCCCGTTTCTAATAAAAAGACTTCTCTTCACTCATTACTCCCCAAACAACGAACAATATTACATATATTCTGTTTAAGTATTCTGTGAGAGCATGATCCTTCCCTAGTCGAGCCAACCTATTTGTGCTACAACCATAATATAGCTGCAGGACTGCCTCTTTGGTCTAGTGGTTGTAGTACTGCGACTGCTGATCATGAGGTCCTGGGTTCGAATCCAGGGTCGGGCCAAAAAAACAATTATTGAGTTTTTCTGTCAAGAAATGCTCAGCAGCTGCCCGGAGTCAGGAAGGTGGCGGTGTCTCACCGCCGTGCCTCGGAAAGCACGTAAAGCCGTTGATCCTGCACCTGATCTCTCTCCGGTCGTGTCGGTTTACCGTCCCGTATTGTCGTAATGAGAGTGAGGGAATACAGTGCACCTGTGCTTGCGCATACACTTGGGCACTATAATCCTATCCTGCGCCGATGGCTAGCCTCCGTTGAGGCAGGCCGCCGTGGCCGAAATTCCGTCTGGAGGACATTATTATTATAGCTGCAGCATGTCTCTACCATGTATAAGATTATCCCAAGTTGTTGGGTTTGATTCGCCAGCCAAAGCCAATATTTGTTTAAAAGGTGGATTAGTGTTAATGTTACAGAAATATATGAAAATAAACCAACAGATATTTTCATTCGGAAGTTGTGGTAATAGTTAAGGAATATTATTATATTTTAATGTTTTCCGTTTTATTTACTCTACGTGCGTGTGTGTGTGTGTGTGCCTACGTTCATAACTGCAGCATGAATCAAGGTAAGCTGTGTGGTAGCAGCGTGAGAGAATTGGTCTCCCTATTTCATCTCGTGGGTGTCGACTTGGAAAAAGGTAGGATTAAGCTCATGCTATCTTTCTACCATATACTATCTCCTATAAGACATAACATCTAAAATACCCAGCCCAGCTACAGTCAAAATTTAAGTCCTACTAGGTTTCTTGTTGGTTCTTCCAGGGCAGAGGTTTTTTCCGAGCCAGTGATTAAGTAAAAAATTACTTTCAATAAAAATTACATGTAATCTATATTGAATAAAAAAATATTCTACTTTAATAAGTGCGAGGCAGACCGTCTCATGGCGATTATGGCTAAGCCTTCCTACAATTAGAACCCTTTTAAAAGAGTGGAATCTTACGTTCTAATAATAAGATGGAAGTATACTTACGATCTCCTTCCTCTTCGGAGCTTCCTGCACTGGTGGGGAGGTCGGGACGCTCTTCGCGTTTGCGTCCAGCTCTAGGAAGATTGAGCGCGACTTCTTAGCAATACCTGCGGGAAGCGGGAAATGAATGTTATGGACATATGGGCTCGATGGGACACCGCCCTCTCTGAGAAATCCAGTGGTAGTTATTATTTTACAAATAAATAAATCTTGAGACGTTTACACTACGGTTTTAGAAACTAGATTCTCATTAAGAATACAAAAATTAACTCATCATGAGAACATTAACATTTTACAAGTAAAAACAGTATCTCGAGGAACGCAGAAGTTGGGGGTACATCACAAAAACAGTCACAGCGTCTGACAAAGATGCGATCACAGATAAAGTTATCCTATATCATCCCGAGGGAGTCGTAAGACGACAGAGGGAAAATTAAATAGGAGATGGTCAGTATTTTATTTATTTCTTTTATAGAATTAGGATGACAAACGAGCACACAGTCCACCCGATGGTAAGTGGTTGCTGTGGCCCATAGACATCTACATCTATCCTCGATTACGAATCATAATGCAGATGCGTTGTCACCCGTGAGGACTAAGATGGTGCCTCATTTCCAGTAAAAACTCTCCGGTTCTCTACACTCACCATACGAAAGACAGCAGCATTAAGCAGCTATTTTACGCTGGTGTTCTGTGAGAGCGTGGTCCTTCCCCGGTCGAGCCGACCCTTTCGTGCTAATACCATAATATCTGCAGCGTGGCTCCACCACGTATACCAGTAGCATATCCCTGATAAAAACTAATAAGAATAAAAAACTGCGGTTACCAACACGATTACCAAGCGTGGTAAATATGTCAAATATCCACCCAACGGGGCAATAATTAATGGGGAAGACTTTGTTCAGTGCACTCTTCATAAGCTGTAATGAATTAAGAATAGAACATTTCCAGCCACTCCTAACAAAACACGGGGTTCACGCCTAAGTGGAAGGCGTAAAGATCTAGTAATTTTTGATCGCTTTCCATTCTCAAATACCTACAGACCAAAGACAAACTGCAAAGAGTTCAGAATGACTCCGCCCTGGCAGACGATGCCCCATGAGAAAATCTATGAGTAAGGCTTATTCATGGAGTGTAAAGGGAAGGAGAACCGTCTCCGTGAATTAGTGTCCGTAGGAAGGCGTTAAATAAGGGTGGCGCCACTGTAGTAAGAGGGTAAATTTTAAATAACTTATTGTACAAACTTTCAACATAATTCTTTTTTATAATAATTATTTTACTGCTCTCAAAATTTTTATTTTCAAAATCAATCTCAACGCGTTTCACGGCGACTTTTTCTAGGTTATATTTACTAAATTATATTAAACAACGTCACTAGTTGAGGTTTTAAATACTGCGGTTTCATCAACTACTCTAGTCACCTATATTAAATTCTCAGCACACTTCACTCCGTCGACAAATGCTAAGTTCATTTCAAACCCTCTAGCTACTCCAGCGCTCTTGTGGAGAGTTTTTGAACTGTTATTTACTCCTTACAGATGAACAATTTTTCAACTGTACTCCATGTGAGACGGTTCTCCTTACCTCTACACTCTACGGGCTTATTGTAAAGCAGTAAAAACTGTTACTGGAAATAGACTGAGAATAGACGAATGATAATCTTGTTGCTATATATAAAATTATATAAGAGTCGGTTTATACGAAACGATAAGATTATTTATAATAATATATAACGTCCACACAAAAAAACCAATAAAAAACCCCGACAAAAAGATAATGAATCATTATCATCATCATCATCATTACAGTCCTACAAAGTCCACTGCTGATCCTAGGCCTCCCCTAAGCAATGCAACAAAGCATCGTTTTACACAAAAAATGTGAGAACATATAATATTAGCGTTGTCTATTATATTTTTATAACAGCACCGTATCTGGTTACTTCCGCTGTAACTTTTTTCCTAACCATGTCCGTTGTAACGTGCTAAAACTAGAGTAACGTGTGTTTTCTCCAATTTCGCAATTTTATTACATTAATGACCACCACAAGTAGGGTCGCTAGGTCTTAAAACCGAAAGCCGGACAGACCAGCTTAGCCGAACATTTTGTTAAAAAGGCCGAACACTGTTAATTTTTTAGTCTTAGTAAAACGACAATTAAAAAAAAGTAAAACTATGCTTTTTATCATTCACCATAAAATCTTCTTAAATTCTAATGTAATAACAACAATTGAATAAATCGGTTTTCTTTATTATTAATGATTCAATATTCAATACAATATTAATTTCAATAATTGCAGTAGTATGTATGTAAGTACATGAAAAATGTAAAGAAATAGTCAAATTTAAAAAGCCTAACAAAAGCCGGACAGGCACTGTCTAATTTGACCGGACACGCAACCAAAAACCCTGTGTCCGGCTTTATCCGGACGCCTGGCAACACGTACCACAAGCCTAAACAATGTATGTGAAATAAATTCTATTCTACAAATAGGTCCAAACCTTCGTTGAACAGCGACTTGTCTTCGATCTCCCTGTTCTTCGGCGGTTGGTTTTCATCGTTGAACACTTCTCCGTTCTCGAAGCGTTGCTTGATCGCGCGAGCCTTTTCTGCGTCCAGTTCCAAATCCCTGGCGATCTTCTCCGCAGACGTCTTACCTGGCGATTAGGGTAACGTTGTGAAACGTTCAAACTTATTCATGCAAGCAAGACGCAACTTTAGGTCTACGTTTTTTGTTATGTAGGAGTAAAGGGACAAAAGGGTATACAGTCCACCTGATAGAAAGTGAATGCTGTGGCCCATATTATATCATATTTATCCTTGATTACTAGTCAAAATGCAGATGCGTGGTCACCCGTCAGGACTAAGATGGAATGCCCAGTTTCCAGTGAAAAGGGGCTCCTGTTCTCTACACTCACCACACGAAACACATCACCATTTACTCTTTACCATTTAGACATATTGTTAATCGCGAGTGTTCTACATTCACGTTAAGAAAATAATGAGCTATCGTTGTCCGCCGGTCTAGCCACACCTTTCCAATCAGGTCGCAAAAAATAATGATTTCTTATATTTACGCGAAAACTACAACACATTTATTAAAACTAGACTAACTAAACTTTTATGGATTTTCTTGCGTTTAATTTATTTGATTTTTAATTCCCAATGTTTCGGGTGCTTTCCTGCACCCATGGTCACGGGGGACTGAGGTGACTTACGTTCCGATGTCAGTACCCGGAGTACCTTCAGCTTTTTAATTACTATTTATGGTCTGATCTACGCAGAAAACTTACTGTGTCTTGAAGTCTTGGAGTGGTATGCTTTTGCTTTCGTTTTAATTTTATTAATTACAAGCAGCTGGTAGTACGCGACCTCCTTCTCTATTGAAAATAGGATGTTTTTTAATTTCAATAGTCTCACGTTTCATCGTTGGTAGGAATCGAAGTACTTTCGCGAGGATTTAAGTCTATCAAAACTGATGTAATGTTGGGGGCCGTCTAAGATATGATCAGTCTGCAGTTTGTGATCGATCATATGAAATTATTTATTTATTTAATATGTGGGTTTTTTTCTGCCTAGGAGTCCCGTTTGAGTAGGTACCACCCCCTGACCTATTCCTGATGCTAAATAGCGTGCAAGCACTGCTATGTTTTGGTCAAAGGCATTGATATATATGTATATTATACTACGCACTAGATTTCGCATTCCGAACACTCACTATGTTACACTAAACTGTACTGCAATCCGTACACATGTTATTGGGGCTTCGATATTCATGCAGTGCGGAGGGGCGCTAATAATAATTTTATATTAAATCAGCACATATTCAAAATGAACGAAATTAAAAAAAAATGTACTCGATTAACAATACAACCTAAATAAACAATTATTTATTACAATATTTGGCGCGTTTATATCAACTGCGCATGCGCGACTCGTGCATTACTGTTTACACAGTAGTGCATATTTTTTGTTTGGAATAGCTTCTCTAATACGTAGTACATGTAACTCAATGGTCTAAAGGGTACATAGAGCCGGTATAATTAGAGACTATAGTTCGTGCCAAATCGATTGAGAAAAACGGACGATGACCTCAGATATAAGCTGAGTGTCAAAAGGCGTAACTTACAAAATCTCAATTTAGATGTGATAACAATATTTAAATATTGATATTATTCACACTTCTAGGTCAGCACATATGTTTTTTTTTTGTTTCTTATATATATAATATTGTCTGTGGTTCCTATAAACATCGTAAAATCTTACGGTACATCGCGAAACATGTGTTATATTTTATATTTCAATTTATAGTAAGTAACGCAGCAATTCATTTAATAACAGTTTCATATAAAATAATTGAAGTAATATAATCACCATTCACCATATTGAGCGTTTGCAAATTCATCCCTTTAAAATAAACGAAACGCGCGTTACGTCAGTTCGTTCTAAAAGAAACGTGACAATGGCAGCCAGAGATGCGTCACTTTTTTGGGCCGGCCCGCATGCACCGAATAAAAATAAAGTTCTTATATAATATTCAAAATAAAGTTTTATCTTTTAAATAAGTACGTACTTATTCGGTGTCGTTATCACTCGAGTCTTTATATATGTTATAAATTAATGCTTTTTGTTGTTAAATGAATAAAGTACTTTATAATACATAGTTGATGATTTTTCTTCTACAGCGACTTTTACATAACTTTTTAATAATAGTTAATAAATATATATTATATCAATCATTATAAAAATAAAATAAAAAATTATAATAAATAAAGAAAGTACTACATATAAAAAGTGCCTATATATTGAAGGTTTGGCCCCTGGTTAAACGACCGAAAGGTAAATGTCCGTTTTTCTCAATCGATTTGGCACGAACTATAAAGCATTCCAGCTTAGTCCCGAGAGGTGACAACTCATCTGCATCATTGTTTAAGTTTCGACGTAGGTTCCGATGAATTGTAGTAGCCAATTACTGGACTGTTCCTGACTTGTCAATTCAATTATACATGATTATTTTGCATTAACCGGCCAAATTTACAGGGAAGATTTTTTAAATGTATAAGGGTGGCAAACGAGCACACAGCTCAACTGATGGTAAGTGTTTCCTATGGGCTATAGACATCTACATCCATCCTCGATAACGAATCAATATGCAGATGCGTTGTCACCAATGAGGACTAAAATGGAATGCCTCGTTTCCAGTAAAAACGGTCTCCGGTTCTCTACACTCAGCAAACGAAACACAGCAGCGTTAAGCTGCTATTTGACGCTGGTATTCCGTGAGAGCGTAATCCTTCCCTGGTCGAGCCGACTCATTCGTGCCGCAACTACACCAGTAATATAGTTGCAGCATGGCTCTACCACGTAAAAGGTTCAGAACAAGTAATTTAGGCAAATCGTAAAGAAAATTAATTAAAAAATGTCAAAAATTCTATCCTTTTTATCTTTTAGATTCAAAAAGTAATATATTCTTTAACTGATTTTAATGCGCGCGCACACATTCGTAAGGGTCGATCGATAGGCAAAAACGTTGTTGCCCGTAAATCACCTTTAATTTGGGATAATTTTAAATAAATGTAGAAGCCTTATTTAATCGTATTTTCAAAAACTGCAATAACGGTACAAGTATACATACATACATATAAATACACACACACACACATACACATATATATATATATATATATATATATATATATATATATATATATATATAATAACTTAAGATATATTTGATATATTTGAACTTAAGATTAAATGAGCACACAGTCCAACTGATGGGAAGCGGATGCTGTGGATCGACGCGCATCTATCTTTGATTAAGATGGAATGCCTGTTTCCAGTAAAAAGGGTTTCCGGTAATGTACACTCACCGTACGAAACATAGAAGCATTCGCGGCTATTTTACGCTGTTATTCTGTGAGAGCGTGGTTCTTCCTTCGTGAAGGCGACCTATTCGCGCATAATATGGTTGCACGTAAAAAATCTGTAGTTATATTTTAAAGAATTCAATACTCACTTTGCTCACTCTGCATAACAGACTGCTCGTACATTTCCTTGATCTTAGCTTGCTTACCCTGGAAGGACGTTTATCTTAAATTTACCATTTGTTACATTTTCAAACGCTAATAAATAACACTAATAAATAACAGTAAAATAAACTTGGCAGTTTCCAAATTAATGTATTTTATAATTATCGGATAGTTCACATACCACAATTACGCTGGCATAGGTGACACTTTGTTGACACTTATGTCAATTGATATATTTTTACTACATAGAATGTAATACGCATAGATTTAGAATATAGCTACGTAATATGTAATTGTGTGATGTTATCATTATCATTATTACAGCCCTTCACAAGTCCACTGCTGAACATAGGCCTCCCCCAAGTAATGCCACAAAGCACGGTCCTGAGCCACCTGCATCCATCGACTTCCTGCATATCTTACCAGGTCGTCACTCCATCTAGTGGGGGGTCGCCCTACACTTCGCCTACCGGTACGAGGCTGCCACTCGAGAACCCTTCTTCCCCAACGGTTATCGGTTCTTCGAGCTATATGGCCGGCCCATTGCCACTTCAGCTTACTAATCCGTTGGGCTATGTCGGTCACTCTGGTTCTACTGCGGATATCCTCATTTCTGAGTTTATCACGCAGAGAAACTCCGAGCATAGCCCTCTCTATAGCTCGCTGAGCGACTTTGAGCGTCCTCATGTTATCACGATTATGATGTTATCACTCTAAGCTATTTAGTATTTACTAATTTTTAACGAACTGTTAAAAAAAACTTATTTTACAGAAAATGTTTAGGAATACGTTAATAAAGAAGTTACAGAAGTAGCGAATTTAAATTGTATGATTCCCAACACTCAAACGCTTCTTATTGTAAGACGCTGTTAAGTCTTGTGCTGCTTCTATCACTTTAATTCAAAGAGACTGTGACACCACGAGACTTACATTTTTTATTTTTGAGCAGTAATCTGGAATTTTAATACTGCAACATTAATAAACTTAGGCAAAACCATGGTGTTATCATCAATATTACAGCCCTTCACAAGTCCACTGGTAAAAATAGGCCAACCCCAAAGAACGCAACATACGAACGCAAAGTACGCCATAGCACGGTCCAGAGCCACCTGCATCAGAACCTCCTGCATGTCTTACCAGGTCGTCACTCCATCTAGTGGGGGGCCGGTCCACACATTGCCTATCGGTACGAGACTGTCACTGGATTTTTAGAAGAGCGAGGGCATCGTCCAAGGCCTTCGAGTGCCACGTCAGCCATCTTGTTTTGGGGTTTCAAGAAACTGCACATACAGTCAGTAACATCTCGCAAAACAGGATCAAGGCCCGATCCGAGGAATCGAACCCAAATTATTACCGCGTCATCATTTCTGTATCTTCGTCTCGGATCTGCTCATTCGCTCCACCATTTTTCTAGTTCTTACGCGCTGGATTAAAATTGGGGCAATTGGCCCCACCATTTTCTGGTTTTTACAAGCTCTATTAAAATCGGGGCAATTGGCCCTACCAGTTAGAATGCTGGTTAGAGTCGATATGTACGAATCATTAGATTTCATGGTCTTTTACACTTTTTTAGAAAGTGTTTAAATGTGGTTATTAAAAAGGAATGTTTCCTTTGAGTGAAATTATATATCTTCAATATTTAATGAACTTTCCCTCCACGTCCCGTTTTATCCATCCTGTATATATTAATATCGTATACTGTGTACCGTACACCGTATCTATATTAATGTCTAGTCCAAGTTTACATTTCCAAGAAACTTTGTGAAATATTATATAATAATATTTTCATCAGAGAAAAAATTGAAAGAAATAAGTTCTATACAAAATGTGCGATACCGGATTTTGTTGCCCTTGCCCGAAACCCGCCTGACCGTTTTAGATTGATACAGGTATGTGTGTCAAAATGTGACAGTCGGGTGGAGTGGGGACGTCGTGCCCCACTGCCATGGCGGGTCGCTAAGACATAAATAAAAATTCAGTAAAAATACTTATTGCATGCGGTCCTCTCACCATGAAGAGCCTGCTGCGTATGTTCTGTATCTCCTGCTTGCGCTCGCGGTGGCGGTCGGAGGCGGCTCGCGGGCCCGCCTCGAAGCGGCCTACGATCTCGCTCATGTTGCACAGCGGCACGGCCTGCTCGCGCGAACCCGCCTGCATGTACGACTTGCGCAGCACCGAGTCCTCGTCTGCCGGAGAACATCCTCGTCACATCATCATTTTCCTATAGATAATAATATAGTGAAAGAGGAAGAGAGAGAAAGAGGGGGCGAGAGAGAAAGAGGAGAGAGTACTGTAACATTTCCTGCGTATTTGATAAATTTCAATACTAACACTCTTATATACGTCAATAGTGATATCGTAATAGCTTGGTTCCGAGCTCCGGTATGGGACGTACGACTTGCGTAGCAATGAGTCCTCGTCTGATGGGAGGCTACATAAGAAAGAAAAAGAGAAATAATAGAAAGGGAGAGAGGAGAGGGTACTATATTTTCAGCGTATTTGATAAATCCGAGCATCAAGACCCGCGGTGTAGTAATTTGTAGTGCACTTGTGTGTCTGAATAGAGCTTCTTGTAGAAATCAGATGCTGCTTTTATTATACTTGTTTTTATTATAGTTGCTTTTGAGGTTAGGTATCCAGATAGTGGTTTCACAGAGTTCTTTGAGAGTTCTTTTTGTTCCGAATGAAGCAATAATGTGTTTTTCTAGTGTTTTTAGTCTTTTGATTTTCCCATCATTGCATACGCCCTCTCTTATTTTCTTACTTAACTCGGTTATTTATTTCACATTCAGTTTGTCGTCTCTGGCGGAAATCTTTTACCAATGGGAATTTCTCCACAACAATGTCATTTCATTTGTTATGATAGTATTTTGTAACATTTCATTCATTCATTTATTAACCCCGTGGAGCGCTTTTTATTATTTTGATTAATTTCCCTCTATGGCCTCTGTGGGATAGTGGATTGTTTTTCCCCAAAATATAAATTTTATATAAATATATATTTTATACAAACCATCCTCATCCTCGGGCTCACTGGAGCTTGGCTCCACCTGAACTCCATTGAGGTACTCATCCGAAACGCCAATATCCATGCCCTTCGCTTTGAATCTGAAATAATATAAGAGTTTACAACACGCAATGATCATGAGCTATGATGGTCCTGATAATTATTTTATTTTATCCTGGTGACCCTGATCAGTATACAAGGATATAATAGGATATTAAATTATGGTATTGTCGTCGGTCCTTGATACGATCGCAAATTTTCAGGTGAACCAGCCGTCTACATGTAAATTACATTAATACATTCTGTCACATATGTATAAATATAGATAGATATATCTAATAAGCGCGAAGCTATTTTTTTTTATAGAATAACGGTGACAAACGAGCACACAGTCCACCTGATGGTAAGTGGATACTGTGGCCCATAGACATCTACATTTATCCTTGATTAAGCATCAAACCGCAGATGCGTTGTCACCCTTGAGGACTAAGATGGAATGCCTCGTTGCCAGTAAAAAGGGTCTTCGAATCTCTACACTTACCATACGAAACACAGCAGTATTAAGCTGCTATTTTATGCTGGTATTCTGTGAGAGCGTGGTCCTTCCACGATTGAACCGACCTATTCGTGCTACAACCATGATGTAGCTGCAACGTGGCTCTATCACGTATAGAAGCTAATAAAAGCTCGTTAAAAAGGTGTAGTTATAAAAAATAGCGGAATAAGCCCTAGAATGGCCTATAGTTATTCCCTTTTTCGTGTACGTATTAATAATGTCAAAAAGGAATATTTGAAATCACACATGTTTATCGAGATAATAGTATGAGCGACCACCAATGGATACGCATACTATTATATTTGAATGAGAAAGATGTGAGGTAATCTTAGAACCTGGAGGTGACAACGCATCTATAATAATAACTCTTTTATTTCGGACATAGATCCATATAAGTTGATATAAATACATTGGGCACCTTAAATACTAATGTTAGTTCCTTAAATATATGTAATCATTTTTTAACAAATCGTTCCAATGATCTAGCATATGCCCGTCACATCTTTCGACGAACACGTTCATAATACTGTTGCGACAGCCACGCGTTCTGCTCAACAGCGAGTACACTCTTTTACGCATTATTGCGAAGAAATCTGTTCGTGTTTCTGCAAACATCTATAGTTCTTTGTTTGAAGTTGGCTGCAAGTTTCCATAGGCTCTTGTAGCCACTTACTATCTCAGAGAACGTCACTTTGGTTTTATAAAAAGAAGAAAAGAATGTTATATCGGAACATCTGTAACAGGTAAAACATCTTAAAAGGTTTATTTCGTACTGAAAAATAATTATTTTTGGCACACTGCTAATGCAAATTCACTGAAGTACGAGATTCACTAATATATAATATATATCATGTGTAGTACTTTTTAAACATTTTTCCGAAAAACTATAGCTCCTGCCATAGCGATCAAAAGTGTATTTTACAAATATTACAAAAATAACTACATTAGGAAATAACTAGAGATTTTTCCAAAAATATTAGGACTGAATTCTAACCTGATTAATTATTGTAAGAAACATTTTCATAGTAGTAAATATAGCTTGCAATTCATACTATATATTTGGCTAATATCAGTACGAAGAAATACCACTTCAACGAAACTTAAATGTTTATGCTAAAAGACATAATAACTGAATCGTGGATCCGAATCCAGGATGTTCAAATTTTGCAGCATGCAACCTAAATCATTGGGGTGCAACGTACATTTTGTCGTCAATTATAGCAGGATATAGTAAGGTGCACTATAAAAAACATCCCCCTGTCGCGACGGAAAAAATATTATAAATATCTGAGTTTTTAACTAAAACTTAACCACAAATTCTTAATTAGTTTAAAATATTATGTTAAACATAAACAAACCTTTTTTTGTCCAATAAAATATTACGCACAATACTTTTAAAACTTTACTAATTACAAAAGACTAAAAACGAATTCGACAGCCTACTTTTTGCTAAATTCTCAACTCGCAAACTACATCTGAGTGATGAAAACCCTTCACAAACATAGAAAATGTCTTTACAAATCACAAATTACAAGAATCTTTAATGCACTGCAAATAAGGTGTAAAAGAGAACAGATTGCAATTTAAACACAGCACGTTATTTGCCTTAGTTATGGCATCTGTAAACAAAAGCTATTTCCGTGTAAAAAATGTCATGGTTTGTAACACGTGTAAAGTGAGCTTTTAGAACTTTTACAAATCGAAAAATATTAAGATGAATACGCGAAGCATGTAGGACGATTGGTTTTTTAATAATGAATGTAGATTTTGGTACAGTGGTACAGATGTTCTTGTGAGGTACAAAAATAGATCCGTTGCCTGAACGATGACGCAAAAGCTTATAGACATAATAAAACTTCACTTGAGTGTTTTTGATACTTTTAATATTCGTATCCATATATTTTGGGGTGTCTCATTTATCTTTAAGCAATTTAGGTTAATAATTCGTCAATTAACTATAAAAATAGAAAGCTTCTATAATTAGATATTATGCCTGTTTTGAGAACTGCCCATAGATTTAGAGTCGTCCATTTTTTACCTTTTTTTAGAAAAAACTTATTTTAGATTTTTGTGTAGTTTATGTCTCTCTTAATGCCAGTTACTCGTCCAGTTTGCATAAAAATTAAAACATTTTTTTAAATTATATGCCCATAGATTTAGTAATGTCGTTTTTTTTTTTAAAAAAATCTTTTTTTTATATTTTTGTATAAGGTTAATATCTTTCTTTATGCAATTTAAGGCTAATAATACATCAATTTCGCACAAAAATTTAAATAGTTTTGATAATAAAATATGCGTTTTTGAGAATATTTTTATAAGCATACCTCAGAACATTTTAAGTAAGTTTCAAGTAAAAATGAATAGCTACAGCAATGTAATGTAAGTTTCTCATGTATACTATGTTGTAATTGGTTTGAAAAATTAAATAATTATAAACCGTATTGAAGGAATTGTTTGGACTAATTCCTGCCGCACAATAACACCATCGCACATCGCGACAAAACTCGCGATACCATCCATACCACCATTGTGCGATTTAAAAGAAGTTTCTTCCTCGCACAACTTCCTTGTGGCAACGACTTCCACCAGATTTTTCCGGGCCGATACGACTTAGGGACCTTCAAGAAAAGGCCCAATCGGCCGGAACACACAATTCCTCTGGTGTTGCAGCGGTTTGTGGGTGGCGGTAATCATATACCATCAGGTGATCTATATGCTGGTTTGCCCCTCTCCTACATAAAAAAAGTATATTTGATTTATAGTAGGGTTTGGGAATTCCCGACAATTTCAATGTCCCGGGACACGAGACAGCCTACTATCAAAGTCCCGGGAATTACCGGGACTTCGACATTTAAGAACAAAATTTAAAGAGGAGTGAGCCTTTTTTTTAAAGAATTTTAATTGAGTTAATTTTTGGTGAAACGTATTTAAAAAGGCAGTTTTATGTAAAAATCAACATTTATTAAACAGAAAATTAAATAATAATAACTTTAACGTAAATTTAAGTCTGAATAATTGCTTTGTTTATTTTTTTAATCACACAGATTCACTTTTAAGAAGTTAAATCTTATAGTTATAAAACGAACTTAGTTAAAAATCATACTAACTCTTAATAACTTTACTATTATCTCTAGTAATTCTAGTATCTAATCATTGGTCATAATCACAACATTTTTAATTTTCATAATCACAGATTTGTTTCATAATTAAATAAAAAGAGACTTATAAATCAGTCTTTCAAATAAACTTCTCTGCTGATTTAATAAAATAGACATTAAAAAAATCAAAGCGTCAACAGCTTTGTCAGACAATCTGTTTCTGATTTTTGTAATAATGCCACCGGACAAGGAGACTTTTGTTTTCAACAGATGTTGGTTTAATTGTGTTTAAGGCTTTATATAGGTAGTTCTAAACTTTCTGTACGTTACTACTCGGTTGCTTCAAACAACTGAAACTCCTTTTTTAATTTAACTAACAGATGGTACTAGGCTCGTCTCGTCTGTCTTGTCTCGTGTCTCGACACAAAAGTCCCGGGACTCGAGACAACTAAAATTACGAAACGCCCCGGGACTTCGAGACACGAGACGTCCCGGGACCCAAACACTAATTTATAGATTCTATACATCCACTCCATTAGATCCCAATAAGTCCACCGCTGAACATACAACGCTGGTCTCCCCCATAGGAATTCTGTCATAATTACCACGCTTGGCACTTTGGAAGATTATCAGGAAAATTCTGCTGTCCATATCCTGTTTCAGTTTCTCTCTTACGACACCCACGGGACGATATTGAATTATCTCAAGCGAGGGTATTGGATATTCTTGCACTGCCAGTAAAAATTAACAAATAAAATAAATGAGGAGAAATCAAAAGTTTAGAACATTTTATTGATAATTACAGTTTTAATAACAAAATGAATTGTCCGAAGTATCAAGATTATTCCTACTTCATTATACAGTATCGCAGGATTCATATAAGTGCAGTCAATTTTGAGCTATAACATAAACAACGTATGTTTCAAATAGGTTTATATTTTTTTAAAGAAATTAGTGTCTTTAAAAAGAAACGGAAATATGTCGTCAAAAAATAATACTTAAAGCATGGACATTTTGAGAGGATATTTAAAAATAATGCAATTTTTATTTTTATTTTAAAGAGCAACTCTCTCGTGCTTATTAAGAATGTTATAAGGTTTTTTAATTACGAGCAAATGTTGCATATAGTTTCAAATGGATTCTGAGTGGGATTTTAGGAGTTGCAAATTCCAAAGGAAATAATTTATTTTTTGCTCGAAACAATTGGAGTTCTCTCTACTACGTTCTTTATCGCTAAAATTTCATTTGTATCTAATGTGAATTTAATCAAATACGCGAAAAATTTATTATGATAATAATTTTACGGATTTTATCGCGTTTAATAAGAATTTATCAAATAATAATGACTCGATTCGATTATAATGTGCTATGTGTTTCACCAAAAACCACCAATTTTTTATTAGAAAATCACATCACCCCATTTCAACCATTATCACCTATAACATTCCTCCCTCATTTGCCATAATTGCCCCTTGCAGGCGGGTGAGTGATCGTAGTTTTTTTATTATTGTGAATTGTTATTAGGAACACGCTACATAGCTCGTTTCAGTTTCCCTCTGGCGTCTCTTACGTTAACTGCGGGACAACTCTGTTTTAACTGTTTATTTTAACAGTCAAAAGAGACCCCGATAATACGGAACACTGTACATTATATTATATCTCATTCTTTGGCAGGCTAAATCCTATAAATATATATCGGGTGTCCCAGAAAGAATAGATAATCCTGGAGCGCCTAATAGTACAGGTATCAGGCGCTCAAATACAAATACAAAAAAATATTTATATTCCAAGCGGTGTCAAAAATATGAAAGTTTTATAAAAAATATGTTTTATTGACCTGACTGTACTTTAATGTGTGAAATTTGTCGCGTTTTTGGTGTTCTCTTATTCCTCACAGATTATTCAATTAGAAATGCATGACATTTTATAAAAAAATAATTTTGACAAAAGTTTGAGATTGAGAGCCATTCGTGAAAAGAAAGGTATGACGACCTAAGTGACCAAGTATTTCAAAAATATGCGCAGTTAATACAAGTTACAGTGGTGTACATTGAAGTACAGTAAGATCAATAAAACATATTTTTTAAAACCTTCACATTTTGTCACCACTTGGAATTTATTTATTTTTTTTGTATTTTTATTTGAGCGCCTGATACCTGTATTATTAGGCGCTCCAAGATTATTAATTATTTCTGGGACACCTATACATGTTTTCCTTTTTAGTATAATTTTTTCGTTTCATCGAGTTTAATATCACAACGATTCTAAAGAAGTTTTCACTTCAAAAATACAAAAAATAATCAATGACTATGACTAACTATCAAAATAAAAAGTAAATATTTTAGTGTGCAGCACGAAGCAATATGTCAGTTTGACATTCCTATTTATATCGTTGTGTTTACATGCGAACGCGTTTGTTCGTTCGGATTGATGTATCTACATAATTTGTTTTGTTTTTAATAAGTAGCTAGACGCGTATTTGACATGTGAAAGATTTTAATGTTATCCGGACAGTTAGTTTAATGTTTAATTTATTTGAATATATTGCATGACTGTTGTGTACCTACTGTGTAGTGGTAGAGATGGGCATTATGGACGACACACACGGTCAGTTCAACTGATCAGTTCAAACTAGGACTATTGATATTTTTTTCAATATCGGATTTTCGATATATCGATAATTATAAATATATCAATATCGGAGTAAGTTTATTTATCGATATATCGAAAATCTGATATTTAAAAAAAATATCAACAGTCCTAGTTTGAACTGACCGTGTGTGTCGTCCATTACTGTTGTTTTCAATTATGCAACCAGTTTTCTTCTGCAACAGGTTTCTTATAACCACGTAATCTTAATTCGTTGTTTAATCTATTATTGTTTTATAGTCATTACGTAGGACACTCATAAGTTTTGAGATATACAAAAAGTACTCTAGATAATATTTATATGAATTTTACCTCTTTTCAAAATATTCTCCATCATGCTCTATACAAAGTTCCATTTGCCGAAACCAACTCTGAAAATACTTTTGCCAGTTGTGATCTGACAGGTACGGAAATCGCTTCTTCGTAGGCAGCCACGGCTTCTTCGGCACTTGAAAAAAAACCTGCCTTTTACTTTTTCTTTGACTCTAGGGAACAAAAAGAAATTACAAGGAGCTAAGTCAGGGCTGTAGGGTGAGTGACTTAAGAGTTTCAACACCAGATCCCTCACTAAATGCTTTTGTTCTAAGGGAGGTATGTGAAAAGGCGTTATCGTGATGGAGCACGATTCCCCGAAGCCCGGTCTTTGGTCTTCCCTCTCGCACAGCTTGAAAATGCTTGGGTAATGCAACTGTAGTATATCATTCAGAGTTGACTTACCTACAATTTTCCAGCACTGACGTCGACAAATGTCCGCTCCGCAAAAGAAAAACTAGCCACCATTTTTTTGCTGACGTTGCGAGGTCTTTGCAGTTTTGTTGGTAACTGTCCTTCTGAGTGGACCCATACCGATGATTGCCTTTTATTTTGCGGATCATATTGATAAATCCATGTCTCGTCACCAGTAACGATTTCTGAAACACGCCTAGATGCCCCGTTTTCAAAACGTAGACGCATTTCATGGCACCAATCCACACGAGTCTGTTTTTCGCTTTCGGAGAGCAAACGAGCGATCCATCGACAACAAAGCTTCCTCAGACCAAGACGTTGATGTAGGATGGTATGAATGCTGGCCGAACTAATGATGTCCGTATATGTGATTCGTGGGTCTTCTTGGACCAACATTTCAGTAGTCCATATGTTTTCTGCCGTTACTGCTGTTTGCGGGGCCTCGGTTCTTTGGTCATGTTTAAGGTTAATTTTACCCCTTTTTGAATTTAGCAAACCACCTAAAAATTCCGAGTCCTATCCTAGACCGAGTCCCCTAATGATGATTGTAACCTTAATTGTTCGTTTAAACCAAATTTAAAATCATAATAGATCATAGCGCGCAAATTTTCACGGTTAAGATCCATCTTTTTAACTGAAAAGCGCGGGAAGCGTTGCAGGAAAGTTAATAGAACTATTTTTTTTAATACTGAGCAATTGGCTTATGCAGTTCTATTTTTAAATAAATTTGCTTTTTAGAAACATGACACGGGTGCGTTCCATTTTTAAATTTCGAGCATCTCAAAACTTATTGAGTGACCTACGTACTAGGTAGCTAACAATTTCGTAATGAAACCAAAGCAACAAAAAAATGATAATTTATTGGCAGTCAATAAACGTTAATTAAACAATTACTTGTATAAAAATGTACCAACAGCTTTACTTTAATTCACATTCACAAAATATCAATTCTTGTTTCATTTTCGTTGAAAATTAATTCCTTTTGTCGCTAATCGACATCGAAGAGATAACAAAAAAGTAGCAAAATTAACATCGTATTGGTAGCAGTGATCGTCGCAACTTATTGTGCAATAACGTTTAGTTATTGGACGTTACTGAAAAAACTAATGCGCGATTTGTCGTAACAGGTTACATTTTTATTTTGATGCAACTTGTTACCGTAACAGGTTGTGGAATCTATATAGTCTCGTGCTTGTCGAAAGACAACGGGAAACAAACAATTAAAAAAAATTATACGTCGTAGAGCCACGCTACAGCTATATATTGGTTGTAGCACGAATGGGTCGGCCGCGGAAGGACGACGCTCTCACAGAATATCAGCGTAACTAAATTAGCAGCTTAATACTGCTGCTTTTGGTATGGTGAGTGAAGATATCCGGAGACCCTTTTTTATTGGAAATGAGGCATTCCATCTCAGTCCTCCGGGGTGACAATGCATCTGCGTTTTGATTCTTAATCAAGGATAAATGTAGATGTCTATGGGCCACAGCATCCACTTACCATTAGGTGGATTGTGTGGTCGCTTGTCACCCTTTTTTTTATAAAAAAAAACTCTGCAGCCTCCTCTTAATAACAACTAAAAAAAGAAAAATTGCGGTTGCCAGCACGCCTGCTAAGCGTGGCAACTATGGATAATATTCCCTCTATGAAGCAATCTATGGTAGAGACCCAGCAGTGGACTTTGGCTTAGGCTGTAAAGGTAATGGTAACCTAGCACATCATGCTCTTTACTTATTTTCGTTATTATTTTGATCTGTTATCTGCTATATGCTTCTGCAAATCTCTTATTTCAGTTTCCCTCAGTCGCCGCTTCCTACACCTACGGAATGATATGGAGTAGTACTCTTTAATTTGATTACTATACAGTTAAATAATTGGGGCCAAAACTGTCGCTAAGATAGTGTTGGTACACCCGGAGGAGCACTTATTACCTTGCTTTTATTTTATTTTTTTAATATGTTTGTTAAATAGTTTTTCTATTCTAAGATAGAATACAATTTTATTCTTATTCGAATATAAATAATAAACACAAGTTAGGCAGCAAAGAACTACGGCGCTTCGTTTTAAACTGCCAAATTCCCCTGCGGGTGCACACGGCGACTTTTGATGTCGCGGCGGTGCCTACGACAAGATGCAACATATGCCAAGGCGGCGTAACACAAAGGCGGCCGTATCTAAGCGAACAGACTACATTACGAACAAAAAGAGATGTCTAGACTTGGTTGTTTGCAACAGGCGCGAGTCCGTGGGTCCTAACTACTTAGCTTGTGCTATATAAAGGGACTCCGTGTGTCCGATTACGCGCTCCGTACAAATTTTATTGAGGTGTTTGTTCTAAACGTAGCATATACAAAGAATTTCATGTATACCATTAGTCTGGCAATTTATAACAAAAATGTGTCGCAGGTGTGAATCGTAATAGTGTAGATAGAAGTGTTTGGCAGCGGAACATGTACTGACTTGGCGAGCTTGGAGAGCAGCGCGCTGGACTTCTCGCGCGGCGCGCGAGTCTGCGGCTGCGGCTCGCACTCAGAAGGCTGCGCGCCGCGCTCGAACACCTGGAAGCGCGACTTCACGTCCAGCTGCGCCAGCTCCTCCAGCCCCAGGTCCGGCTTGTCCGAAGCTGCGCACACATTTAAAAAACCATGTTTGCTCTTCAGGCGCGGTCAAATAAAATCTTTAGAAAATATAATATAATAGCACCACCTACTCCATTCTATTAAGTCATTTTATCGAACAAACACTGTCAAACTCAAAATGATACGTAAAACAGACGGTAGACAGCCTAAACACGACTAATTTAATATAAATCGGTAAGTAAAGAATAGATTGAATATGATAATTTTATTCAATATAATTAATTTTACTCAATTACTATTTTTTATCTATTTATTTTAACAGTTAAGTTATATTACCTTTAAAATACCACACAAAGAAGAGACCGAGATAATTTTATTAATTAAGCGATAGTAGCCTAATGGCAGGGCGCGGACCGCAAACTCAAAAAGGTCCTGGGTTCGAATCCACCATTCGACTACTGACGTGAACCACTCGTAACACAAGCATTTTAAGCTTACCACGAGTGGTAAAGGGGAATATTAGTAATGTTTATAGCATTGTTAATATTATGTATAAAAAAAAATTTGAAAATACTGTATGCTATCTCATTCTCTTGCAGGCCAAATTCCATAGATGTATATGTATATGTTTGTCTCATTTTAGCGTCACTTTTTTGTTTCATCGCGTTTCAAATCAAAACGACATTAAGAAGTTTTCACTTCAAAAATTGAGGTAAAAACTTCTTTAATTATAAAAAAAAATATAAATTTGATGGCAAACATAGTTAAAAAAAGTTGTACCTATCTAGGTAGGCATTCACCCGTCCAATGTGAGATGCCAGTATTCAGCTTGGTTTACCTCATTTCTATATAAATTATTTTATTTACAAGTGATAAAATAAAAAAAATTGTACAACCGACTTCAATATAAGTAAAATAAGAACATCGTGGATTTAGTCGAAGTCAATTTAATACGCATTATTAACCATAACTCAAAAACCGCTGGTCAGATCTTAATCAAATTTATATGGGACCACTAGAGAAACACCAGCTTTTAAATAAGGAAATAATCATCAAAATCAATACACCTAGAAAAAAGTTCCGAGGTAGCACACATAAAATACAGTCGAATTGAGTACCTCTTCTTTTTTTTAAGGCTAACGGCCTTCAAAAAAAAAGCAATAACAATTTTAATAAATAACATTTAGTATTGTATACGTAGGAAGGTAGTTAAATAGAATTAATTTACAATCATAAAATATACGGATCACAGGTAATCAACTATAAATTGTACCGAGATTAATTTAATAGCTGATAATAATAATTAGTTCGCTTCCACGAATTAATTATCCGAATAGTCTAGGATGAGCTAGTAGCGGCATACAACAAGTGAACCGTGCCACGCCAGAGCCATGACACGGTAATATTATCTATACAGTATTGTAACTCGGCCGTATCTTTCAAATAAATGCCTACAGCCGTGCGGCACGTAAACATGTGATAGGGTTACCTGCCTCCAGCATTTTTACATTTGCCTACTTTGTGTTTCCATTTAGTTTTTGATTGTAAATATATTTTTTATATAAACAAATAAAATAGGTACTTTGTGAATTGAATAGGAAGTGTTCAATAAAAATGCGTGTCGTTTTTTGATTGGTAGATTTAATTAAAAAACCATGTTTATGTTTGAATAACAAATCGGTTAAATAAATTTGCGACCGAAAAATATTTGCACCTCGGCTGAGACTTACGAAATGCTTTATTATTAGATTTTTAAATATAAAAAATCCGCTTTCTAATATAAAGCTAAAAATAATATAAATTAAAAATTGTTTTGGGAAACATGGACAACGTGGAGAAAAGGAATATCTTTTAATTGGTTATAGATAGCTGCAGCTACTTTACAATTTATATGTTTGTTTTTAAATGAAGTTCAGATTTATTATTTCTTTATTTCTGTTATATTATTTATTTCCTCCATTTTTTTTAAATATTTCACAAAATCATGACTGCGGCACAGTCTCGACTCTCTGCATGCCGAGCGCATGCCGAGATCGAGGCGCGTAGGTATAGCTCTCGCTTCGTCCGTTTGTATGAAGTTGGAATACTGTATAGATAATATTACCGTGGCCATGACTGCCCTAATGGCTGCCGCTCCGTCAGTTTTATACAATCGAGACAAGTAGCTACCCGCGTGCCACAGCAGGTGCAATGCGCAGGTGTGCGGTGCACGTGTTGTTTACAATAATTCCGACTACCCACAGAGGCACTGTCTATCAGTTATCCCAACCTGCAAACAGATATCGACACTTGTTAGATATTACAACGCTCGACCATCCTGGACTTCATTTAGGTTGTTGGCAGCAGACCGATCTCTAAGCGCACAATGCCTTTTCAATTTCTGTGTTAGACTTCTACCAATCTCTCGATAGAAAATCCCAATCTTATCGACTTCACAATATTCGGAGTAAACTGCTACACTTATCAACACATTAGAACACTAAAAGGTCACTTATTATTTTTAATTCATATCACAATAGACATTAATTCATTCAGTAAGTAGGGTAGCGAATTTTATTAAACTTTATACATAAAAACAAAGGCATCAACGCTAAGCGAATTATGATCTTACACAAACGTAATAACCCTCTTATTGTTTAAAACTAAAACGTAGGCAAAATTTGGGACTTTATCCCATGTGAGCGATTACAGGGAATTTATCCCATAAAAATTAAATGTGGGCAACAACGGGAACTTTATCTCACAAAAATTAAATGTGGACAATAACGGTCTTTATCCTATAAAAATTAAATGTGAGCAATAACGGGGACTTTATCTAACAAAAATTAAATGTGGACAATAACGGTCTTTATCCTATAAAAATTAAATGTGGGCAACAACGGGAACTTTATCTCACAAAAATTGAATGTGGGCAATAACGGTCTTTATCCTATAAAAATTAAATGTGAGCAATAACGGGGACTTTATCACACTTCTGACGTAGGAAGGTAGTTATATAGAATTAATTTACAATCATAAAATACACGGATCACAGGTAATCAACTATAAATTGTACCGAGACTAATTAAATAGCTGATAATATTAATTAATTCGTTTCCACGAATTAATTATTCGAATAGTCTAGGATGAGCTAGTAGCGGCATACAACAAGTGAACCGTGCCACGCCAGCGCCAAGACTGCCTTAACGGCGGCCGCTCCGTCCGTTTTATACAATCGATACAAGTAGCTACACGAGCGCCACTGCAGGTGCAATGCGCAGGTGTGCGGTGCACGTGTTGTTTACAATAATTTCGACTACCCACAGAGGCGCTGCGACATATATGTAGGAAAATAGTTAAATTAATTTACAATCATAAAATACACGGATCACAGGTAATCAACTATAAATTGTACCGAGATTAATTAAATAGCTGATAATATTAATTAATTCGTTTCCACGAATTAATTATTCGAATAGTCTAGGATGAGCTAGTAGCGGGATGCAACAAGTGACCCGTGCCACGCCAGTCATGACTGCCTTAACGGCGGCCGCTCCGTCCGTTTTATACAATCGAGACAAGTAGCTACCCGAGCGCCACTGCAGGTGCAATGCGCAGGTGTGCGGTGCACGTGTTGTTTACAATAATTCTGACTAGCCACCGAGGCGCTGCTGCACGTGGAATGGCGCACGTACCGACATATACACTAAAACTTGAGCTCGGAATGTTCACTTAATTGAAAAATTTACATACAAAAATTTCAAAAGTCGGTGCTAAGACACAGGTATTAAAGCTCAGACTTCAGAAGCTTCATGTGGAAATCATTTTATTGTTTCTAATATACTGAAGTTAGCTTTTAAGTTTCATAGCACTAGTTTTTCCCTTTTTTCTCTTTTGACAAGCTTCAATGTCATTAAAAATTTCCATCCTTAGGGGTAGAATTGAAGTTAGCTTTAATTTAAGCTTATCATTAAGATTAGCTTTTCACTATTTCGACATGCTGGAATGTTAATTTTTCATCATTACAAAATTTCAATCCCCTACTTTTCATCCTGAGGGGTAGAATTATTTCTTTAAATATAGTGGGACATTTTTTTTACCGTCTGGAAAAAATAGGATGTAAGAGGTGAACGGAATGGAAGCTTTGATATTTTACACTTTTTTTAATTAGGTATTATAGTAATATGGTTTATTTAGTTCATAATTTTTATTTTTATTACCAAAAGTTTATTTAAAATTAGTGGTATTTATTTATACTCGTAGTTATATCTCATAATATATGTAATGTAAAAGCAAAGAAATGGTAAAATATCAGTGCTATAGGCTTGTATTTCGTTCACTTGTTACATTTTTTTTCTTCAGAGACGGTAAAAAAAATCACCAGTATTAGGGACCAACGCTAAATTATAACATCTCTATGTATAAAAATCACCAGTATTAGGGACCAACGCTAAATTATAACATCTCTATGTATAAAAATCACCAGTATTAGGGACTAACGCTAAATTATAACATCTCTATGTATAAAAATCAGTTGCTGTCCGTAAGTCACGCTAAAACTCAAAAACGATTGGACCGATTTATATTAATTTTTTGTGTGTTTGAGTAGGTCCTTGGATGGTTTATATTCACAATTGGACTTGGGGGCGCTTTTGTCGAGATCCAGAAACTACTTGTGCTGAGCCAGACGATCTGTGGCGGCGCTGTCGTCGCGCCACAAGCGAAACACATCGAAGCCTAAATCGCGCTATCAAAAGTTCCGAATCATAAACAGTATCTATAGAACATCTCCGAACTATCACCACGGAGCGTTGGCCGCTCCCCGGGCAGAACACCTTGCCTGACGGGAGATCTCCCCTTTTCCTTCAACGGCCACAGTGGTGACCACCCCACGTGATCTGAACACGCAACCAACAACCTTCGGAAACTACAATTTCAAGCTTCGTCATTATCCTCAAGAATCCCTGCTATTAACTACTGAGAATCGTCTTCTGCACTCTTCAGTTTCTGCAAGCCAGTCCAACTTGTCTTCATCTCGACTCACCGCAGATTTATAAGGCAGACT